ACCATCAAGTTGCAGGTCGAACCTCTGCCGCCCAAGGTTGTCCGGTTCCTGATGCGTCACGAGTCCGACATCCAGCGTGTTGTCAGTCTCTCCTCGTCTTCCCAGCGCAACAAGCGCCTGACTGCCGCCGCCGATGTGCTAGCCCAGGAGCTCGAGGAGGCAGAAGCTGCGCTGGCTGCTGGAGCAGAAAACGCCAGCGATGACGAGGGTGGTGAGACCCCTCTGCCCAAACCGTCCAGGGCCTCGGAGCTCGGTCCGTGGCTGCAAGCCCGTCTGCGCTCGTGCTTCCAGAAGAGCAAGGGCTGGGAACCGCAGCGGGTGGACCATATCACTAGCAGCGGGATCCGATCGTTTGGGTCCAAGAAAACCGGCCCTAACATGCTGATCTACGATAAGTCCGTTCTGGATCAGTCGAGCCAAGCTGCTGCCAGCTGGTTCAACCCGCAGATCAAGCGCGCAACCGCAAACTCGTCCATGACCGGTACGCCTATGCTCTCGGATGGCGAAGACAGCAGTGACGATGATGACGACGAGGAAGGTGCATCGCGAGAGGGTGCACCGCAGCAGTCAACCTACACCATCCGCGACTTTGAAGAGTCGATTAACACCGGATTCCAGCTCGCTACCCGCTCTGGCCCCCTGTGCTTTGAGCCCATGGTTGGTGCCGCCGTCACCATCAAGGAGTTCTCCACAAACACTGATATCGACGCCAAGTCCTCCAGCAGCAGCCTCTCGGGCCAAATCATCTCATTGGTCAAGGATGCTATCAAATCTGGCTTCCTCAGCTGGTCGCCGCGCCTCAACCTTGCTATGTATACCTGCGATATCCAGGCAACCTCCGAGGTCCTCGGGAAAGTGTACGGCGTCATTGCGCGCCGCCGTGGCCGCATCCTGTCCGAGGAGATGCGGGAGGGCACGCCCTACTTCACAATCAAGGCAGCCATCCCCATTGTCGAATCGTTTGGGTTCGCCGATGAGATCCGCAAGCGTACATCGGGCGCGGCCATCCCGCTTCTAATCTTCCGTGGGTTCGAGCCCTTGGACATTGATCCGTTCTGGGTGCCAACTACAGAAGAGGAGCTGGAGGACCTGGGCGAGAAGGCCGAGAGAGAGAACTTGGCCAAAAAGTACATGGACAAGGTGCGCAAGCGCAAGGGCCTGTTTGTTGAGCGCAAGATCATTGAGCATGCTGAGAAGCAGCGTACGCTCAAGAAGTAAGAATCTCGTATATGGTTACAATACACTGTAGAGTTCACATGGATGGTTTTGAATGCTTCCATATGCGAATACATGTCATTCGATCTGCACCCAGCTGTTAGTGCAGCGGCCCGTTATGCAGAGAGCGAACGACATCGGACGGTCAAGACATGCGCTTTGCTTCATGCGCAATCGGCATTGGCCTCCGCCAAAAACGGCCAAACAGTCCTGCAGCTCCACACACTCGACGATCTCGCGGCCGTTGCTTCGCAAATGAGCCGTCGCTTGCGGAAGGTGTCAAGTGCGCTAGGCCCGCCTCAGCGTTGCGACCAGATTTCACATGCGCCGCGCAGCTGAGGAGCTGCCAAATCAGTAGCGCCTCTATCTCCTGTCAAACCTGGAGGATGTGCACATTGGACCTCTGTGCTACCTTCCACTAATGCCACAGGATTGCTGGCAAGCGAGTGCTCACAGAATGGGGGAATCCGCTTGCGTGCTCATTGGGGAGCTGTGCACAGCAATGCTCTCGCCACAAGAGGATGACGTGCACTTGAAAAGGGTAGTCGTTGGATGGCGATGCCTTATGCAAATCACAACCATTTCGGCCACTATCGTACATGTCACCTTCTCCTGTCTGAGCCCTCACTTTCATCGGCGACCAAGGCGAGCCTGGGTCATTAGTGGGCTGTCCGAACCCTGGAAGGGACGGGGACAGATTCACTGGATATAAATGTACCACCACGGAACCAGCGTCTCTGAGAAAGTCCATCCTCACACCGCCATCTTCACTTCTACCAGGATGTTCAAGACCGCACTACTTTTATCGGCGCTTGCTATCAGCTCCAACGCCCTTCCAGCGCCAGCACCATCCCTGCAAGCACACTCCATTGGCTCGAAAATCGCCGGCATTGTCAACGTGCTTGGCAACTTCACCATCGACAACCCGCCTCCCTTTGCCGCTGACTACGTATCCAACAACTCGCAAACCGGCACCATGTCTGATTACGATCTCTCTCGCTACGCAACCTATGCTGGAGCTGCCTACAAAGTCAACAGCACATCATGGACATGCCATCTGAACTGCGAGCAGGCATGCACTGAGGGCACAGTCGTTGACCTGCACTGGAGTGTTCGCACGCCTGCGAGCACCGGCTTTATTGCGCATAATCCAAACTCCAAGGAGATTTTTGTTGTCTATCGCGGCAGCTACACCCTGGAAGACTGGCTTGAGGACTTTACGTTCATCCAGGTCCCCTCCCCAATCCCTGTGCCGGGCTCGCTCATGCACGCTGGGTTCCTCACCGCCTACCGGGCTAACCACCGCCAGGTCAAAGATACCTTGGAGAAACTTCTGGCAACATATCCAGACTACACACTCATCGTTACCGGCCACTCTCTTGGTGGCGGGGAGGCAGCCGTGGCAGCTACAGACTTTGCAATCACCAAGCCAGCATGGATCCCGCGCATGAAGCTGATTACGTTCGGTCAGCCGCGTGTCGGCAACATTGTCCATGCAAAGTGGCTGTCGCAGCAAAAGTTCCCTATTTTCCGTGTCGTCAACCGAGGAGACCCGGTACCACATGTGCCCACCATCGCCATGAACTATTACCATGAGGCACAGCAGGTCTGGTATGATCTGAGCGGCAAGGTGAACTTTTGCGGAAGGGATGGAGATAGTAGCACATGCTCCGATAGTGTGCCGCTGAGCAAGTGGTCCTGGAACCAGCATAACGAGTATCCAGGACTTTACTTTGAGCCACTGCACTAGCTGTCGTATTTTTGATACCACTTTTTACTGCTTGTCTAGCCTTTATTACATATACACTGCCCTTGCACACCACATTGAGCTATGACTATATTTGCAGCCGACCCACGCTCAATAGTGTGCTAGGCTGATGGTGAAGGTCATATGGTTTACGGCCCGATTTCAATGCGCCAGAGGGGTGACCGCACATTGACAGCCACACCCATGATCATACACGCAGCTGACACGACTATTGCCGTGCAAACGAAGCAGCATGTACTGCTACTGCAAATAGGTTTGTGGTCCATTGCCGATCAGGGATGCACCACTTAGCCGCAGCCGTGTCACAATGGCAAAGTTGTCCACCGGCCATTTATTTTCGTCGGCGTCCCTATACAATTGTCGATGCACAAGAAAAGTACACCTTGCTCGTTGGGTGCCACATCGGCTAGCTTATTCTTGTTGGGAGGCTGTATTTTCGAAATTCTGGGCCACAGGTCTTGTGCAGTACGGCACCTTTCTGTGACCTGGACAATAGTATATCCCTCAGCACTTTGTTGCCTCAATAAAACAAAACGTTTGCGGGTTTCAGTTTTCTCGTCTGCAGTGGTACACATTGGCTTAGAAGCACACATCTTTGAAAAAAGGCTGTGGATTGGAGGATTCCTCAGACGAATATAAAAGCAGATAGCATTCCATGGAGGCTCGAGCGCGCTTTTCTGCATATAACATTACTTTTCACCTTACAACTCGGCTCACCCCTTTCCTTTTGACACGGAAATGATTGTAGGTCGGCACCCTGAGTATACACGAAATTTTTAGCATAATTGATGTTTCAGCTATTAATACAAAAGCCATGCTTGTAGCAACCCCGAACTGCATATATACTCGGACTAATGATTATGCCTATGGTTGCGCCAAGTCTTGCATTACCCACTCCACATTCACATACATACACGGCCATTGCCAAGCGCTCCAACATTATTGATTCTCTCATTTCGGTATTGGTGGTTGTTCTTGGTTTTGGAGGCAAATTGGTCAGCAGCGGCGTCGATATCAACACCAGACCACAAGTGACGATGCCGGATACGGGCAAAGGTAGACCAATCCGGAACAACCTTGATATCGAAGCCACAATAGTACATTACGCAGGGTAAGCATGTCTATTTGTCACATCGAATTGAGGGACAGATAGTAGACCAGGAGCACAGTAGATTCGGAACAGGCTCTTATATGGGCAAGATTGAATGCCATTTGGTCGCTTAACCACTTGCCAGCCGCCTTTTATAGGTATGCTGAAGGGCCTTACGAGTTGACCGGAAAGTCGTGGAGCTGCCAGACATGCCAGAAGCCAGAATTCCAAGGAACTATCGTCGATGTCTACTGGGAGAACGCCATTAACGGCAGCACCGGGTATATTGCTCATAATCCAAAAGAGAAGCTGATCGTCGTCTCGTTCCGTGGTTCCAAGGAGCTGAGCGATTGGAGAGATTCATTCAATATCGAACTTGTTCCATGGCCTGCAAGCATCGCTGGGTCTCAGGTAATGGCAGGTGTTCATGAAGGATATGTGTCACTCGAACCTCGGATCATTCCCTATGTTGCTAGCCTCGCGGAGCAGTATCCTGACTATGCAATACTCGCTACTGGGCATTCATTAGGCGGATCCCGCGCATCATTGTGCGCGCTGGATCTCAGCATCCAGCATCCACAACTAGTGAGCAGACTGCGCTTATACACGTATGGAATTCCAAAGCTAGGCAACTCTGAGTTTGCTAATGCAATCAACAGGCTTGAGATTCCAGCCTATCGTGCCGTGAACCGAGGTGATATTGCGGCACATTTACCTCCAGACAACCCAGAATATGTACACTTTGGCACAGAAGTGTGGTTTCAGGATGGGAACGTCACACTATGTTATCAGGACCGTCGTGGCCAGTGTTCAGACACATTATCAATATTTGAATTGAGTATATATGATCATTCGAGCTACCCAGGGATGTAGTTTATTTCATGTACAAATGATATAGTTTAGTAGCATTGAGTAGCACTTCCGTTCACACGCTATCTCTGGCGTAGACAGTGCAGAGTGCAAAAGCTGTAGCATTGGTACTAACTACTGAAAGACAGGAAATTCTCAGTCAAGGCATCTACATGTACATATTCCTGTTTGACGCAATAAGCCACATCTTGGCCAGCATCAGTTTCAATGAGTAGCACAGTGGCGCTCCTCAATAAGTTCAAACGCTCATTTCGAGGTGGCCCGCTTTCAAGGATAAACAAGTTTTCTAGTACTGCCTTGGGAGCCCATGCAGATTGTGTGCGATATAGGGCCCATATAATAGTATGTTTTTCGCTGGGTGAGCAGCATTGTATCCTAAAGCCCTTTGTTGCCATAGTAAAAATAATCAAATAATGTAAGGCTGCCCTGGTCTGCAACTGTAAACATTGGTTTGGAGGCGTGCATCTTTGTAGGCAGACTGCTCGTTTGAAGGTCCCTTTCCAATGAATAAATAAGCAGACGATGTGGTCCTGATTGCTCTCCACACAGTTTTGCAAGCTCTTTCACCTTACCACCACGTCAATCCTCTACCACT